ATGAGTTATGTATAATATCAGGTAGTGATACAGTTTACCTATATTGTCTTTAGGTTATAGCTGGTACGGCGATATCGTACGCCGGTGAGATCAATTCTAACTTCGGAGTACAGATCTTAGAAAAAATTCCAAAAGGGTCAGTACTATACAACATAGAAAGCATCCGAAGGAGAAATATTTATTTTTCAGCTTTAGCTTGCGTGTCTATCTATCTTTTCCTCCAGCTTGTCCGCCACAGATTCGTATACCACTTAGTTGATAGAGCCTCTTAATAATCTGAGTGTTGAACCGACGACCTCCCACACGTCCGACAGGCCCAGTGCCCAACCAATTGAGCCAACCGGGATGCGTCAGTCTGAAGTGTTTTTATGGAAAGCACGGGTGGCGTAGCGGTGAAAGCGCTCACCTCTCAACAAGGCGACCCAGGCTCGAGTTCCACCGGGTGCAATGTCGTATTTGAGTAGAGTTGCTCGTTGGTTGTCTCCTGTCACGGCTTCAAGGGTTTTCCTCCCTCCGTCAAAATCAACTTCTAATTTCCAATTGGAATTCAGCAAGCAGTTGATGAATAGACACCCTTTGGAAATACCACTGTTAAATCCCCTTATTTATTAATAATATATACTTTTAATTTCAGCCAGTGCGTACTGATTTTTTCTCGTTCACTTCCAGRATTCCTCCTATCAGTATTCCCTCTATTAGTCTGATGCAGAACATGATAACAGATGCGTTCGTCATATCAATCGTGATTTTTGCTACAAACATTTCGTTATCCAAGATGTTTGCTAAGAAAAATGGACAGACAATTGATGCCAATCAAGTAAGTTTATGTCGAAACATTCTGTAAATTTATTTAGACTAAAGTTAACGTTCAAGCCCTGCATCGCGACGCACTAGTTTGCGAAAGAGAAGACAGGAGACATTGGTTTTGGAATAATTTTGGCCACGCTAGTGGCAAGTTTAATAATCAATAAACCTCTATAATCGTACAAAATACCAAAACCCAAAGAAGCTATGTCTTCGGCAAAGGTGGGGCGAGAATAAACACGCCCAACCTAGATTAACTAAATACGATAATCCAACAGGTGGGCCGCAGGGGTGGAGGTGGGATRATTTTACAGTGAACTTGCTCGACTGCGAGAATAATAGGAAAGAGGCCTCGTGGTAGTAAGGCGCGCCTTAAGTACTGCTACGTAATAACAGTAATCACATCCTATTGGTCGACTTGAGATATGCGGATTCATCTAGTTGGATTACCGGATCTTACAACAGTATAATGTTTCGACATAAATGTCATTATGCTGTCAGCATAATGTTCTGTTTTAGAGAGAATACACCTAGGGTTTTTGGGTTCTGCGGGATTTGGGATTTACCGGTATCTCTGTGCGGAAAGTGGAACTGAACTATGCATCAATCGATTACATAAGTAAATCAAATGGCATTAGAGTTTGGTTAGTCGCTCTCTTGATTCTAAGGATTTTCTCTTGGTACATTCTGCGGTTTCTGCTTTTTCTGGTCTTCCTCACTCCGAAAAAATCGTTAATATCGATTTATATCTTACTGACGTTTCCTTTACCTTTTTATCATTACTGTTTCATTAGAAACACTGACGCGGCTCACACTAGTTTTTAGCTAGTTATATCTTCCATTTATATCTGTGAGCTAGCCGTGCCATGATAATGAAAAGCACAGAGTTTTTAGTTTCAAATAGAGCTCATAGGAAAAACACTGCACGATGAAAGTATCAAGCATTCGTTTATTTGAGATTCTAATATATTGTTTCTCCGCTCAGGAACTGATTGCATATGGAGCCTGTAATATCGGTATTTCATTCTTTTCTGGGTTTGCTATTTGTAACGCCTTGGCGCGAACAGTCGTACAAGAAAATCTTGCTCATACTCAGGTAAGGTGTCAGTGCTGTGCTGTGCTGTGCCGTGCCGTGCCGTTTAATGCATTTGCATATATATATATATTTCCAGTTATGTAGCATTGTCGTCATTGGGTTGATTCTTCTGGTCCTACTCTTTATCGCTCATCTGTTCTTTCATCTGCCAAAGGTAAAAAGTCTTTCGTTTATACAACATATAGCTAAGGCGTAAGGATATTTTTGCGTTTTTTCCGCATGGTACGCACTATCGAGAGGTAGAAATAGCATGTATGCGCTGTCAGCTCTTCCTCTCTCACTGCCGTGAATTATATAGTTCTCAATAGCTGGCTTGCTGTTTGAGCGTTCAGATCTTCTCCATTTAAAAGAGCGTGCTTGCAGTGTGACTAATACACCAAGGATAAAAAAGCAGGTTACTCTGCACGCGTTGTCCTTTTCACTTTATCGAACAATCATCATTTTATTTAAGAATTTTTTAAAAATCCCTTCCTTTACCCCTCATACTTATCCGATACCACTTTTTTAGGCCATTCTAGCTGCTATCATTATCGCAAACCTCATTGGTCTTCTCAGGCAGTTCTCTAGACTCAAGGATCTGTGGAAAATYTGTCGAAATGATGCGGTTAGTACACACAAGAAAATACTGGAGAATATAGAAATTACAGCTTTCCAGAGCGCCTATATAAAACGTACCATCTATCCCAAAGGCGAGATTACACGAGCAATTTTCTCTGCAACTGTTGCAAGTTGCAAAAGTGTTTACACGGTGCAAAGGAAATCCAATCATATATTGCCAAAAATAGTAACGAATTCTACTTCTTGCAACAATTGCTTCAACTTGTTTCGCAACATTTTTCAGATTGGCTGTAGGTTACACGCTGGAATGCTCCATGCAACTCATGAAATGAAACTATTTTCAGAGAAAATTACTCCGTGTAATTGCGCCTTAGGGCGGTGAATATTTATTTAATTTTTATGTTTATTTTTTATTAGATCGTTTGGTTTGCCACTTGTTTTGGAGTGATTCTTCTTGGAATTGACATGGGACTTGGGTGTGGTGTTCTCTGTGCTGTACTGATGGTTGTTCTACCTTCATCAAGGTACTTACGTAATTAAACACTGACCTACGATGGCCAATAAGAAACAAGTTGCTGCAAATAAGAAACGAGTTACTGCAAATAAGAAACCAGGTTGCTGCAAATAAGAAACGAGTTGCTGCAAATAAGAAACGAGTTGCTGCAAATAAGAAACGAGTTGCTGCATATAAGAAACGCGTTGCTGCAAATAAGAAACGAGTTGCTGCAGATGAGAAATGATTTGCTGCATTTTAGACGAGTTGCCGATTATGAAAAAGGAGTTCTCGCAAAAAAAAAAAGACAAGTTACTGCAAATAAGAAACGAGTCGCTGCATGATAAGCATATCGCACACAGTTTGCCGAATCAGACTGAGGATCTGCTTAGTTTAATTTTCGACGATTTCTCAACTAGGACAAATTCTAATCAATTTAAGTATTCTATTTAGAGTCTCCTACGCCGCTTCTTGCTTAGATTTCAATAGGGCGTGTTTATCTTTCCTCGGCACAGAATGCGAAAGACTCCCTTACTTCGTAGCATGCCTGGGTTGAATTAGTGTCAGTTTTAAATTTTCGACGCTTTCTCAACAAACACATGAGGTCAAGTCCAGGCATTTTGCCCCCAACTTACTAAGCCTATAGGGTAGACCATTCTTGATGGGATAGTCCCTATATTTCTAACACTTTTTGTTGCATTGCTTACTATTTTTCAGTCCAAAATACTCTATCCTTGGCCATGTTCCAGGAACAGATATCTTCAAGGACATCAACGCCTATCCTCATGTAAGTTTAAATCATTGATGAGTCATTCCGAGGTTGAGGAAAAAACTGGGTCGACAATGCATAGAAGTGTATTTTGGGACTGTTTTACGGAAATTCCTCTTAAACAGCCCTAAAAGGCACTGCAATGAAAACTCGACCCTTTTTCCCCCTCAGCCTAGGAAGGCTTACTGCACATTAGAACGTTTTCTCGTTGGTTATAGACCCATTCAGCTTGGGTATCATTTCCTTGTTTAACGGTTGTACATGAGAAGATACAGACCAAACACTCTGAAAACCTTTCGTTCTTTGCTGTTGTTGTTGTTGCTTTGTTTTTGTTTTTTTGTTGTTTTTTTTCCATCTAAAGAGTGTGAAATGGTGATTCTCTTTTTTATTATCTTTAAACGGGAAAGAAAATAAAGGGAAAAAAGAAATGCCGGAAAAGTTTGAGTAGGCATAATGTTTAGGTCACCCATCCAGGTACTAACTTCCCTCAACCGGACTTGACTCAGTATCTTGGAATTGCCGCAGTTTTTTCCACTGGACCACGGTTGCAGGTGAATCAGCATAACAATA